GTGCATAGCTGACTGTACAGAGGTTTTTCCCTCTCTAAATATACATAGGATTGTGCCTGGATTATGTCTTGTGTACATCTCTGTAGCATGATCAGGTGCCAGTGGGCAGTTTTGAGGCATGTGAGATCTGCTCTGGGCTACTGTGTTCTCTACTAGTCCATCCATATATTTATATTTCATTAAGAAAAACGGAAATGTATCACCAATAAAGAGGACACAGGAAGGCATGCATTTGCATAAAATGTGCCTATGCAAGTAAGTTTGTCTCTTTCGGTGTGTGTGGGACTTCAGAAAGTACTGTTGGGATTTAAATGGAAATAGTTATTTATTTATTTATTTATTTATTTAGAAAATTTCTATGCCGCCCCATTCGCCGAAGCCTCGGCTCACAAAACATTAAAATATAATAGATTAAAAAATATCTCTCATTCTAGTTGGAAAACTTGCATCCAGGTGTTAATTGTGCATGGACAACTTTAACACAACTGCCTTGCTCTCCCTTGTTATGGGGTTTTCTCTATAAATGAGCTTGGAATGGACAGTCCTTTAAATACAGGACTTCTGTAAATTAGGACATCTGGATGCCCTATAAACAGAAGCCAGGTGCAAAACAGTGTCTGGTCAGATAAATGCATGCTAAGAGTTGAGGACCACGTTGTCCTGATGTGCACCTGAGGAATCTGGGATCCAACTGGTAGTGTGAAGTAGCGGTTAGAACCGGGTTTTCTGATGTGACGCGCACAGGAGGCCTTTTTTGGTTTCCCACCAGGCTCCCTGCTTTCCATACTGATTTTAATGTATTTTCATTTGTTCATTCATTTTATTTCTTAAGATTATTTAACAACATGATTTGCATTCCAAAGGGCTATTGTTTGTTTCGGAACTTAGAACTCCCTTCTGTTTTGCATTTAGTTTCCCTAGTCTCCCCAGTTTGTTTTCTGAAAAATGAACATTTTTATGATTGGCGATGCTGACCCTGGCAGCCATTTTATGAACAGGCAAGCCCCTCAGTGGCCATTTTGTGAAAGTGCCAACAACGCCTTTTCAAAGTTCCAGTGATCCAAAACAGTTTGGGAGCCTTGGTGGGGAAATGTCCCTTCTGCTTGTATTTTGTTGTCCCACAGCAACAAATGTATGCAATGCATTCCAATGGTGAACGCTTTTTTTTTAAATGCATTAGAAGCTATATTACTCCAATTAATCCAATTAACACAAGCCATTTATGTGTTGGATCATTTCCATTCATCTCTTATGTTCCTCTATCCGGCAAAGGAGGCCCCTCAATTTTACAAGTTATACAACCTTCTTTAACATAAAGAATGGGGTCTAATTTGTATCTCACTGGCTATCATTTTGTTAATGATTCCTCCACTGCAGAAATCTTCCCATGCCGATATTTAGCTATTGATTCTAAAATGGTCTACTATTTTTGCATATGAAAATAGGAGGAGGAGGAGGTCTTTTTCCATGAAGAAAAGAAATGACCAAAACCAAACCAAACCAAACCCACAAGCTGGTAAGGCAACACAGAAACATAGAAACACAGAAACATAGAAACAGAGCAAGTCAGAAGGGGTCTCCCGGGTCATCTAGTCTGACCCCCGGCTCCAGCCGGCTCTGCTCACAAACATCTTCATGAAGACCCCCAAACTCTCAAAAGAGTCCTGGTATCTCTTAGTTGAGTAAACCCAGGAAAGATCGTGCTGAATTCAAGGAAATGCAACATTCCATAAGAATAAGGCAGCTTCCTGACTGTTGCACCCAACATGTGTATTCCAAGCATGCCTACTGACCCAAGACATAATCAAGCGATTTACAGTCACAGGATATGGCCAGTGAGTTAGATGACTTTAAAAAGGATTGGCTAAAATAATGATGGATAAATTAATGCTCTCCAGATGCCCAAAGGACACAAGAGCTGTGCGGAATTTCCAGTGGGCTCCAATCTACCTCTGCGTACCAGATGTTGGCCACATCTGTTGGAGCAGGTGGAATTTGCCAATATGTTCCACTTGGAAGTTTCACAGCATCACCTGATTGGCAGCAGGTAGAAGTGCCTGTCGGATTACATACTACAGGGGTGGGCAGTTTGTGGCCGTCCAGAAATTTTGGCCTACGAGTCCCATCAGCCGTAGCCGAGGAGCCAATAACAAGTAGGATGGCCACTTACTGCCAGAAAAGAGGATCGGCATCACCAAAAGCAGGACACCAAATTGCAGAATGTTTGTATATCCCGACGTAGTATAACTATCCAAACCAATTTAGGAATGTGAATCTAGTCACTTCAGAAGACGTGTATTATATCTCACCATTGTGGAGAAGGCTAACCAGGTAGCCCATGTGCCACTGCTCAAACGTCTGTCCAGCTGACAACTATGGACAGGCAACTTCAAGGCCTTGGCCTGCTCTTCCTTCCGGGGCGTCATCTTTAACGTGGATTTCGCTGGACGGCCCGTCAAATAGAGGACACTGTCAAAGACTGGACTCTTTTCCGACAGCTTTCCAGAACAGAGGATCATGGGGGCCGCATGACCTGCCCACCCAGACATGTGCCGTTGGCCCCTTCCTGAGACATTTTTGGGGTGCACCTTGCAAGACCAGCCCTGCATGGCACAGACGGCTGATGGCTTGGATGTGTGATTTGGGGAGTGTTTGGGGCTCATATCCCAGTGCAGAGGTGGCTCAGTTCACAACGTTGTGCCAGATCTTTGCTTCTAGCAGAAGCGTGAGCGGCAAATCAGGAACGGGGAGCGCGGCCAGTTTTGGTCTCGTTAGTTCCATACAAAGGGGGGCCAAGGCCTCCCCCGGCCCTGCGTCCCCCAAGGGTGAAGCAAGGAGGTCAGCCATACAAATAACCACGGAGCGGCCCCTGTGAATCCGCTTCTGGAGGTCACCTCGCACATCTGAGCCGAGGTCAATCGACGCTTGCTCTGGCATTAGGATAAGCTAATTTAACAGCAGTGTCGGTTCCTGGGGGAGGTGAGCACGGCGGCTAAATGCTTCCGTAATTACATCCCGAGAGGCTTGCGTTCAGCCCAGGAGAGCCAGGCCTCCGTGCAAAGTGGAGGATGGTTCATGCCGAGGCGACTGGATATTTTTCCTGCAAGACGGTGGCTTTTGACCCTGGTGGAGCCCACATCAAAACGAAATGTGGGCATTTGTAACTGCATGAAGATGCAGGTCCATGCGGGCGGCTTTCACACATTACACAGGAGCAAACCTGGGTTTCCCGCCATGTGTCCACCAGACAGGCAGCTGTAGCCAGTTCCAGCTGCCTGAGAAGTATCTCCGTAGGAAACTCAGGATTACTGCACACAGAATGCACATTTCCAGATGCATGACTTAAACCCCCCCACAGGTCATGTGTGAAGCTAAGCTTGCCCTCATCCATGTTTTCCAATGGTGCTTAATGTTCAGGGTTGGTTAAAGGCACAATCCCAAGCATGTGGAGACAGAAAAAAGTCCTTCAGCTCCCAAGTCCGTCTTTCTGACTGCCCGAACATGTGTGCCATGCACCCTGCAAGCCTTAAATATCTGCATTTGTGGGACTCCCTAAGGTCTGGGTGACAGATTCAGCACAGCAGCTGTCCCAGGCTGCCCCTCGAGGTTTTTGCAGAGGTCCGTGCCTCTTCCCTGGCTTCCCCCCCAGGATCCTACAGGGCTGCAGTGCCTCTCCTAAAAGCTTATCGAGGGAGCGCTGAAATGGGCTGGTCCTTTGACCCTGCCCCTTTTAACTTTGCCCCACCCCCTTTGGAGCTTTGGACTGTGAGTTGGGTAATTCATTGCTTTTACACAGAGAAATTGAGGAACGAGAGAGAGAGAGAGAGAGAGAGAGAGGGAGAGAGAGAGAGAAAGAGAGAGAGGGACTTTCGATGTCTTGGATGCCATCCAGCCCTCGTGCACTAGACATTTTAGTATGATTTATCGCGGTCTTTCATGTCCCCAAAAGTCACACCCTGGACTAGGTCCATGCACTTTGGAAAGGGATTTGGGGAGGAGAGAGAGAAAGAAGGCAGAAGCAAAGATGAGGTCCTTCACTGCCAAGAGGTTTAAAAACCTGCACGTGCAGATTTTACGCAAATTTTGCCCTCTTTCGCTTTTTCCTGGGTGGCGGTGGGGTCGAATGCATGCCTTTTTTTTTGGTGCTGTGCGAGCGACTGCCCAAACACACGTGTGCAGATCCTGAACTTTCACTGAGGACTTTAAATTCAATGATGTTTTCTTGGTTTAGTGCAGGGGAAAATCATTCCTTCTTTACCTTATGTGGAAAAAAACATCATCGTGAAAAAGATTTGCGGGGAGGGAAGCACTGTGTGTAGGTGAATAATTGTTATTTTTAGACTTCACTGGAGGGGAGAGATATGTAGGCTTCCGAGGTGACACAGAACTCAACAGCTGATGATTTGGCTGGCTGTTTTCCAAGCCAGTGAGCCAATCCAGCACCTTGGACTGCATGTTCCTTGATTCTCACCCATCAGTGTCTCTCTTGCCTACTCTGTCTTGTCTTGCTCCGAGCCTCTCTCCCTTGCCAAAAGCCGGTCTTGCCCAAAGCAGACTGGTGCGCTGGATCAAGCCCTGTATGAGGTTTCCTTGCCATCTAAGCTGACCTGACTTTTCCTCCACTCAAAAGGAAACTTAAAGCAGCCCTCTTCTATCCGTGCAATGAGAGTAACTACGAACGTTCCATAACATCAGCTGAGATGTCAATCAAAGTTGGTCTTTGTAGGTGTGCGAAGCAAGCAGCAGAGACCCTGTTGTCTGGACGAGAGGGAGCTCGGCTCCCTTCACGTGCCCATGGCCAGCGGGCCTCTCTGCCTCTATGTGCGTTCTATGAGATTTCCATCTGCCTGCCGCCATCTTGGGAACGCTGCAGTGCATTTAGACTGCCAAGGCTCACCCCCAGATCCACAGCACGGTCTGGTCCCGAGCCATTCATCGCAAAAACCAGCCACTGCCAACTCCCCCGGAGGTTCCCCTCTTTCCCAGAGCAGGGGACTCACCTTTATCCAACACCGGCCCAAAGATGGCCAAGCTGTCGTTGACGGTGGTACAGTTCCACCTCCTTCCCCGGAACTGGTGCTGGCACTCCTGGATGCCGATTTTCACCCCTTCGGCCACGCTGGGCATGATCTCCACGTAGTTCCGGCAGAAGCGCAGCTGCTTGGGCACGAGGCCGGGGATGCTCCCGCACAAAATGGGTTGTGTTCCCAGAGAGGAATATTGGTGGCCGATCGCCAGAGACCTGGAAAAGGAGACGGAGGGGGAGAGTGGCTGTCATGCCCTTCTCAGAAGTCGCCGCCTGCCCCCTCGACCAGGAACAGCAGCTGCAGCGGCCGATTCAGGACATTTACGTATTTATTTAAAACATTTTTACCCTGTCCTTCCCGGTAAAACATCTCAGTATGGCTTACGATAATTAAAACCAGTAATAATAAAAAATTACGATCAGCAATAGTAATACAATCATTAAAACAATAAATAACAAAGCAATAAATAAATCACATCCACAATTCGGCAAAGCAAAAAGAAAGAAAATGTGGCTGTAATATTAAAACATCTAAAATCCTTAGTTCTTAAAATGATGGTTAAATAAAAAGGTTTTTACCTGGCACCTAAAGGAGTATAAGGTCAACGCCAGGTGAACCTCTCTGGGGAATGCGTTCCACAATTTGGGTGCCACCACAGAGAAGGCCTCCGGGTAGATACCTCCTTCAGGGAGGGTTCCCGGAGCAAGGCCTCTCCTGCTGATCTGAAGGGGTATGAGGGCATACAGGGAAGGCCTTGCCTTGCTCCATGGTTCTGCCTTTTTCCCTCCATGCGCACCTGCTGCTCCTGCTTCTCACCCTTCCCAGAAATGCTTGCTTGGCGGGCAGAGAGCCAGGGAGCTGGGCCCACCACTACCTGGGCTAAGATGAGGGACAGGTGCACAAACAGCTTGCGACGGCAAGGAAGGGAAGCAAATCCCAGATGCTCTTGCCGGTGGGCCCTTGAGGGTCCTTGACAAGGGCCCAATCATGCTTATCTCAATGGCATCTCTGCTCAGTTTTTCCTTCATACCTCGGGCTCTCACAGCCAACTTGTTCATGCAAATCTGGAATTTCCCAGAGACACCCCTTGGACTCTTGCAGCCCTCTCAACTCTTGGCTTTGGGACCCCAGCGAGGTGGGTCCACTTCCTTGCTTCAAGACATATTTAAGGCAAGTCTTGGCCATGCCATCTGCTTGTGTATTTATATAGTTACATATGAAGAGCAATTAGAAGCCTTCATTTAAAGATACCAAGGTGGAAAGCTCAAGGAAGGAAAATATAAGAACTGAAATATGCCCAGGTATAATAAAATGATGTCACCATCAAACAACACCTCAATAAAAAGAAGCCAAAGCCATAAAAACGTAGAGCGAAGTAAGGATTAACCGGAATAGCTTTCGAAAGTGCCCAGACACGTAGAGGATGATTTAACCTTGTGCCGAATCAAGGGCAACGTCAGGACAAGAAGGGCTTCAGTTGGGTGGGCATTCCAGAAATTGAGCGCCACCACAGAGAAAGCCCTGTCTAGTTCCTGGGCAATGATTTTCCCCTGCAAAGGAACCAGAGAATAGTCTCTTTGAACTACCTTAAGGCGGGGTGGGCAGAAAGCAGATCTCCGGACGTTTGGGATTGGAACTCCCAGAATTTCTGACCATTGGCCACGCTAGCAGGAGCTTCTGTGACTTAATGTCCAGCACATCTTCCATAAGGCAAGGCTTGGGCATGGCTGGCTGGGGTTGCTGGGTGTTGTAGTCCAGGCCAGCTGGTTTGAGGTTTTCAAGTTAAGCATCAGCACCTTAACTTGGGCTCAGAAACAAACGGGCAAGCCATGCTGCACCGGTTGAAATCTGGGCTGCTGGGGGAGGGGTCCTACCTCCCCCTCCCCACAATTTAATAGCACAGTGTCTCAAGGGCGAGCCCCTTCACTGTTTGCCTTTGGCTGTGCAACAAGTTTGTTTTCCATCGACCTATTCTGCCCTCCCCAATTCTGTTTTAATTCTTCCTTTCAAAAAAAGTCTTGCTAGAGTTGTCTGTTTTTACTCTTTGTACGTGTGGCTTGCGGTTGTGCCATTGTAATTGTGGGAGGCCTTCTGCACACCTTTGTGTGGAAAGCCCAGATAAGAAACGATGAGTAAAAATAGTCACACCAACACCTTGGAACATCATCAGCCTGGGACCCAAGGAAACCCACGGGCCGGGCCGATGTCTGCCTTCGAAAAGGGCAGCTGGGAGGCAGACAGGAGCTGAAGGAGAGTAATTACCAACCCCTGACAAAATCAGGAGGTTGACTCACCTCCTTTCCAGCTCAGGATAAATGATTGCGATGATGTGATGCTCAGCTTTGATATGCAGAACCTGACATTCCCTGAAGCTACTGTCTGACCTCACAGTGAACCACAAGGCCGGTTTTGCCTGCTGCTGGACAACCCTGGAATTCCTGGCCCTGGTAGACAACGCTTGCTGTTTCCACCCAGCCTCCTGGCAGGCGGACACGGCTTTTCGCAAGGGTGGCCCATGCTCGCAGCCCCCAAAAGAGGAAACATCTTCGCAGAAGAGAAGACGGAAGAGGACTCCGGCTGGCGTACAGTTTGCAGATCAAAGTGCACTTCAAGTGCAAATAGAGTGGTGAGGGTCCGTGTGGCCCGCACGCTCACCTCGCAATCAGCTGTCCAGGTGTGAACCACGGCTGGGCAACTTCAAAGCTTCTCTTGTCCTCCCACCAGATGGTACTTTACCCTTAAAAATGGACTTGGACTGGAGTGTCCTTCAAACAGAGGACTGTCCTGTCAGATGCAGAATTCCGTCCCACCCAACTTTTCATCTCCCAGCATGAAAAGATGCCTACTTATTCTAAGCAGGAAGTAAAATGGGAAGTAACATCATTCTCTCAGTAACTGCCAAATCTATTCTATGTTCTGTCTGGAACGTGCAATATCTAAGGCTGGGGGGAAGCGGCAGAATCTGTCCCTCTCGCATTCATGGGCTGCCTCTCGTGCCACGAAGTGGACTGAAGTCCAGGGAGCTAAGCCCAGAGAATCTGATGGATTCCCACCCCAAAACTGATTCCATTTATTTATTTAAAGTTTTTATATGCCATCCCATTACTAAAAGTCTCTGGACAGCTTACAAAGAACAAAAACTTTAGTTTAGTCATATAGGGCAGGATGCGGTCCAATGGAGCAAAGCTCAGGGATCCAAGATTTAGGGTGGATGCCAGGAAGTACTTCCTGATGGTTAGGACCCCCAGGGTATGGAATGGGCTTCCAAAGGAGGCGGCTGCAGCCCCATCATTGAGGGTGTTCAAGGACAGGCTGGACCTGCACATGGTGGGCATGTCATGAGTGGAGCTGGCTGGAGCCGGGGGTCAGACTAGATGGCCCGGGAGACCCCTTCTGGCTCACTCTTTTTCTATGTTTCCATATTACATGCTTTTCACCCTGGAAACTTCCACACCATGCTGCCTGTGCCATTGCTTTCCGACATTCTCATCCTTGCCCCCATTGAAGATACCTGGACACTGCTGGCTTCAGGTTTTGGAAGGAAGTGGCCACCTCCCTTGGCAAGAGCCGGGGAGCCGGGCCACAGCATCCTTCGCCCCTCCTCTCCACCACCACTGTGAAGAGAAGGAGCATGTGCAGAGTGCCCTGCAGCCTGAGGGTTGGCCCCATCCTCTTCCCTGGATCAGGGCCGCTCTCCAAGCACCTCCTCTGAGGGTCGGCACCCAAGGGGAGGGGACTGCGGAACCGTCTGCCTGGGGAGGTCCACCTGGACGCACACCGTCACCCTTTCAGCACCAAGTTAAGCCCTTCCTGTCTTGCCGAGCCTGGACTGGGCACGATGGGGCATTTCCCCCTTTCCAAATCAAGGTGTGGCAAAGTTGTCCCCAATTTTTCAAACTTCCTTAAATTGTTGAACATCGATCGCTTTATGTTATGTTTGTGGGTGACCCTGAGCATTTTGCTGACTGGGTGGTATAGAAATTTAATGAAGGAATGGACAGCTCGCTCTCAGGTGGGCCTAGGAACAACAGCTTCATGACCCTGTGCCAGAAGTTCCCCGCTTTTGGCAAACGGTTTTCTGTATTTGAAAGTGCAGGAATTCACTTTAAAAAGGTGGAGAAGCTTTGCCTCTGCAATTCTAGAAGCAAGACATTAATGCTTATTCGGACTCTGTGTTCTAATGAGGGGATCTATTTATGTTCTGGCAGCAGAGAAGACTTCCATGAAATAATTTAAATCCTCAGAGTGGAATGTTGCCTGGACACACCTTAAGACAGGTAGATCCCCTAGTTTTCACCCAGTCTTCTGAAAGCAACTTGACTGGCTAATGAGTAATTTGCTGATTAGCGGTTTTTCAAAGAAACACAGAACACTTTTGCAAGGTCCTGGAAGTTCACCACTGGAGTCAGCAATCTGCTGTGGGAAGTTCCTGCCAGACAAGCCCAGGGCAACTCATGCGGCTCGGTGGTGAAGGCAAGACGAGCTGGGCTTTCTCAGGGGGGCTGGGCATGTGTCGGTCTGTCTTCTGCTCACTGGCAGAACATGGCTTCCACAGCTTTGCTTCCTGGCCCAGACTCCAAATACCTCCACGCCCACAGGAAGGCTCCCAGGACTTCGGATTCCGAATCCTGGCAGGGTGGTGTGGAGCAGTGGTTAGAGCCACCTTCCCCTAACTTGGTTCTCTCTAGATATTTTGAGCTTCCCGTCTCACCAGTCCCAACTGGCATGGGCAGGATGCTGGGAGAAGGTTGAAGCCCAGACATCTGCGGGGGACACGGCTGGGGACAGGGTCAGACTAGGACCGGCGAGGCCCAGGCTCAGCCCCCTGCTCAGCTGGGAAGCTTGTTGGGTTACCTTGGGCCACACACACACACACACACACACACGTCTGTCTGTCTAGCCTATCTCACAGGATTGTTGTGAGGATAAAATTCAGGGGAGGTGGAGGGAGGCATACATATCACTGTGAACTCTGGAGAAAAACTGGGACAAAAATGAAGTGGATGGATGGATGGACGGATGTTGGTGCCCTGGCCATGCCACTAGGAACTTCTACCAAGGAGAAGCTCCAGGCCTTTAATGTTAGGTAGGTCTTCATGATGTTATGCAGGACCTTCTACAGTCAAGAAGGAACATCTTCCACCAGCCATGGTGTGGCTTCCCCACAATTAACACCTGGACAACAAACTAAGCCACCGCACCACACCACACCACA